GGACCAGCGAGGAGGGGTGCCAGAGTTCCCACGAGCGAACCACTCATCGCTGAGTGCCTTGAAGCACGTGTCAGTTGCATGAGTGGTTTGGTTGCAGCGTTGGCCTCGGGTGGGGCCATAGAGGGGAAGATACTGACAGGGTGGGAAGGCCGCTGCTGCCCCACGACCCGCACCACCACGACCGCCAGAGCCGCCTCGACCACCACCACGCCCACCTCCACGCCCTCCCCCACGTCCGCCCTTGCCGCTGCGCTGCTGTGCTACCGCGGCAGTGGAGGAGGAGTGGCGAAGGATTTCAGCCTCAGTGGTGATAATCCACTGGGCAACTTGAGCGGGAGTGTCATGCTTGGAGAGGAGTTGCATGTATGCGAGCTTGTGGGCATCGAAGGCGGGAGTGAGGCCTTCGAGGAGGTGGCAGCAGATGACGGTGTCAGGGTAGGTGACGCCAAGTGCTGCAAGGCGGCGAGCAAGGTCAAGGACGCGGCGAGTAAAGGCGGCTGCGCCGGCAGTGGAATCCATGGTGATGGATCCAAATTCCTTGATGAGGGCATAGAGGGTGGCGATGTCCTGCCGGTCAAAGAGGTCGACAAGCAGTTGCCACAGGTGGGAGGAGGAGGTAGGTGAAAGCTCTCGTTTGAGGGAGGAGGGGATAGTGGCGAGGAGGATGGCGAGAGCTCGACGGTCAGCAATGCGCCACGCAGCGATGTCGGTGGTGTAGCTGGCGAGACGTGTAGTGTACGTGGTGAGCCGGGCTTGGTAATCGCGGTGGCGGGCAGCAGCCTCGTCGTAGGCGCGCTTGTCGTCCTCATAGCGCAGTTGACGGCGAAGGTGGTCGTTGAGTGCGGTGCGGTAGGTACGGATGGCAGTTTCCATGCTCTGAGGATTGTTGACATCCGGCGCGAAGGTGGGAGGATCACCAGAAGGTTCGGGCTCAGGTCCGGGCTCGTCAGGAGGAGGTCCGGTGGGAGGGGAAGGGGCGATGGGCTGGAGTCCGCCTTCCTCCTGGAACACGACGGAACGGAGGGTGTATCCACTGACGACAACCGAGGAGAGCAACACCTCGACGGAGTGGGCATAAGAGTGCCAGTTGGCGGCCGAGTTGTCGCCCAACAACTCGAGAGAGTCAATGGTTGCCAAGTCGACCGATGAGTCTGCGGACGCCATGATGGCGAAGTCGGGGAGGTGCCGCTGCTGGTGCCGTTGAAGGTGCCGCTGCTGGTGCCGTTGAAGGTGCCGCTGCTGGTGCCGTTGAAGGTGCCGCTGCTGGTGCCGTTGAAGGTGCCGCTGCTGTTTTAGGGTTGAAGGTGCCGCTGCTAGGTGCTGTTGCTGGTGCAGTTAAGGATGGAGCAGGGGGGAGGAGGTAGGGGAGAGGGAGGGTGGCGCGGAAGTGTGAGGCGGGGCGCGGATGAAGGGGGGAGGTCGCGGTGAGCGCGAGCAGGCGACCGCGAGGGCGCGGAGGTCAGTCGCGGCGGCGCGCCGGCCGGCCGCGAGCGCGCGAGGGTCGGCCGCGGCTCCGCGTCGGCCGTCTGCGTCAGCGCGAGGGACGGCCGCGTGGCTCCGCGTCGGCCGTCCGCGTCAGCGCGAGGGTCGGCCGCGTGGCTTCGCGGTGGCCGTCCGCGTCAGCGTGGGGATCGGCGCCGCTCGCGTGCTGGCCGTCCGCGCTGGCGCGCAGGTCGTCGATGGCTCCTCGCTGGCCGTGCGCGTCGGCGCGCGGGGTGCTCGTGGCCGCGTGCTGGCCGTCCGCGACGGCTTGCTGGCCGTCCGCGACGGCTTGCTGGCCGTCCGCGACGGCTTGCTGGCCGTCCGCGACGGCTTTCTGGCCGTCCGCGACGGCCCCGCGACGGCGCGCGGGTCGTCCGCGACGGCGCGCGGGTCGTCCGCGACGGAAGGCGTGAGGGAGGCGTGACGGCGGGAGAGAGGATTGAGGCCACGGGAGAGCGGTTGGAGGCCGCGAGAGGGAGGATTGGGGCCGCGGGAGGGAGGATTGAGGCCGCGGGAGGGAGGATTGAGGCCGCGGGAGGGAGGATTGAGGCCGCGGAGGAGTAGATCTGAGCCGCGGAAAGCTAGATCTGAGGTACGGGAGGGAGAAATGAGGCCGTGGGAGGCTAGATCGAAGATGCGGGTGGACGGATATGCATCGTAGTCCGCTAGAGTGGAGAAGCGGAGAGAAAATTACGGCCTAAGGATCGAGGGAGGTGGCGTGAGCCATTTGGCTCTGAATACCATGATAGGATTCAAGAATGATTGAGTAATGAGCCATGGAGGCTCTATAGTACAAGCATGCAAGGAAGAGAGGTTGGAAGAAGGTGCAACCCTATTGGCCACTAAGTTGGCCAATGGGTGAGTTGCCTTGTGGAGTAGGGAACCCCACAATGTTGCTAGCTTGTGATTGGTTGGCCTTAGGACCAAATGTTGGCAAGTGCCAACCAAGGACCAAGACCAAACCAAATCTTGACCCAACCACAAAGTGTGGTTGGAGTGTACACCCAACCCCCCAATAGCTTAAAGAGCTACACCTATTCTAGCCTATGTATGTTGTATATATAAGATACATTTACAACACGCATGTGCGAGAGCCATCGGAGTTGGTTGCTTGGATGAAGCGAGGGTCGTTGCAGTTACACACGTTTGTCTTGCCCTTCACCGTGCACTTGAACTTGCCGCAGGGATTGAAGAACGAGCCAGTGCTATCACCGCGGCCAGCTATATTGCAGGGGTCATTGGAAGCTGTAGATAGAGAGAGGGCGGACAGGGAGGGTAGAGAGGCAAGGCAGGAGGAAAGTTGTGTCCTAGGCAGGGCTAAAAGGACGCTGGGCGGGCAGGTAAAAAAAACCTCAGGCATAAAAAAACCGTCTAAGCGGTGGGAGAAAGGGTTTCGGGTCATTCCAACTACATTGGACATGAAATATCTGTAACATCTCAAATTAACACCCAAGTCCCACACGTGAAAACTATCTTCAGGGTTTCCAAGAGTGAATCAAAGCGAACAGAAGAGAGAGCTTTGAATGTCTAACCGATTCTCTTTCAAAATTTGGGTTCAGTTTGACATGGTTCGTGGGGGGGAACGCAATGCGGTAATATGCTGTGGCTGGGGGAAAATGGATTGCAGCTCTTGCTTGGAAAAATGGAAACATCGCTCCCATTAATTCACAACTTTTTTGACAACATCACCCCACTGGGTTGTGATGTCACAAATTCGGCATTCGCATCGAAATCATGAATGTCAATTTCGTTGGTGTTTTTTTATTTGGGCAGCCAATAAAATCCCACGAAGCGTCCTGCGTCTTCGCGTGCATCCTGCATCCCGCGTCGCGTGTGTCCTTTACAATGCAGCAAGGAGGAAAAACAATGTTGTAGGAATGAAACAATTGTTATATTTTTTAGTACCTTTTCGAAAACAATTTTCAGGTTACAGCAGCAAATCGTTCTGTATTGCTGAATCAAACGATGACTCTTTATTATACTTTGCTTCTTACATTTAAAGGGTTAAAAAGGGGGAAAAAAAAGCACTCACTTCTTACTTTCTAAATGCTTGTTATTTACAAGCACTCACTCACCTCTGACCGCACACTCAATATTGTTGATACAACACTCACTTCTGACCACGGGGTAGAGGCCTGGCAGCGAGTTGATGCCGCACACGCCATCCCCCCCCTGGATGTCCATGCGCATGTGGCCCCCATCGCCCCAGTCAGGCCCCCATGAGTTGCGGATGATCCAGAAGGGCGGCGCCATGTGGGGGAAGCGCGAGTCCTTGCCCACCAGGCGGTACCCCACCAGCAGCACCACGTGGTTCAGGTTGTACGTGAAGCACGCTGGGTCCTGGTACTTGGACAGCTGAAGGGAGGGACATAATGGCAAGGAATTAGATGATTAGCTGCCACCTGCTTGTGTTAGGGAGTGGTGTGTATGGAAAGGGAGGGTTGGGAACGAAAGAACCTGAAAGTGATTGTATCCGCACCCTCCTATTCTTTTATTCACACCCACGCTACTCGTCTCACCCCATCGTAGTTCTTGAACGTGTCAGCGGAAGCCTCAATGTGCACCACCACTGGTTGACGCTGCACAGCCAATAGCAGCCCAAACCAGCCGTAGAAGGACGTCGACTCAAAGCCCTTGATGGGAAACGCAGTGGGGAGCTGCTTGGGGATGGGACGGATGGGGTATGGACGATGATGGACGCATGGGGTGTGGCGGAGGATTGACGCATGAGGGTATGGAGGAGGATTGATGTTGAGTGCAAAACGTGGGTTGCACATCAACCTACCGTCTATTCGCCAACGGTGGAAGAGAGTAAAGTGTTTAGTTTAAAAGAAATTTGTGGTGTGTGAGATGCACATTTGTGTGCTTCACATTTATGCGTTCACAGTTTGTGAATCACCTTAGCAGTTCATAAGTTATGTACGTTTTTTTTTCGTGGTTGCATTTCATGAGTGTTCATGAATGTTTCGGAGTTTCCGCAAAAGCGTGTGAAAGTTTGGTGAAATTCCGGGAATTCATGAGTTCCATGAGTTATCACAAGTTAGCGAGTATTCATCAGTTTGCGTGTGCGCTCATTGTTTTGCATGCATGTATTCATAAGAGTTTCCATGAGTGTTAATGAGAAGAAACGGATGTTTCTTGCTTTCAGACTTTTTGCGCTAGTCAAGGCGAAACACCCCGTTGTTCGCGAAACACAGACTCTTTTGATGTGTCCCTCTACAAACACGGACTCTTAGTTAGGGGTTGGTTCTACCAGGCACCGTAGGACACTTGGGAAGTAATCTCGTATTGACTAACCAATGTGAATTAAAAAGTGTGTCTAGAGCCTCTAGATTCCAATTGTGGTCAACAATAGACTAATGGCGTTATCGTCGACCGAGGACCCGAGCACATAAAGCTCTAGCATGGAACAACATGCCTGGATCTGAGCATTCGGTGTGAAAGAAACTTGATGTGGGCAACACAATTATAAATTGCTAAATAAAAGTAGCTTTCTTTGAGTCTATTAGGCTACTCTACTAAGCTATCACGGGCCCCACTAGTTCACTCACACGTGGGATAGAAGTGCCGTTGCCGCACGACACACCAAGCAGCTTCGCCAGTGGCTTCAGCAACGGAGAGCAAAGAGGATTGCTGCTGCCTGTCTTCGCGGCCTTCTTGCCTTTCTCGGCCGGACTTTGGTTCTCCAGCACGAGCCCGCCTCCCTTGTTTGCCAGCTTGAGCAGCAACTGGAAAGCCTGAGAGGGCGTACTGCCAGAGCAATCGACCTTCATGGCGGCCTTCATCTGCTCCACTGACAGCACCGGCGCCGTTGGAAGATTGGCCATAATGCCATACGCCGCCTCGATGCTGCCCACCACTGTGTACGCCCAACAGTCGCCTGCGAGGAAATGAATGTGCGGTGAGGGTTGCATAGAGGAAAGAAGTGGATCGTGCAGGTGGCATAGAGCAAACAGGTGGGTTGCATATGCGGAGATAACTCTAGCAACGGGAGCTTGACTACGGGGAAGGCACGTGTGTGAGAGGTAGCTCTGCGTTCGTTCGTTCCTTAGTCGTTTCCTTGTGCGCACACTACTTGCTAGTTCACGGGGAGAATTGGCAAGAGTTCCACTAGGAAAACAGGGCAACAAAGGTTCATAACGATAGCAACAACATTGGCATGCATCACTACATCAGAGCTAGCACAGCTGCTGGTCGACCTCCAGCGCAGCACGGTCGACCGCGATCCAGCGCAGCAATGCTCGCACCGCTCCAGCGCAGCAGAGATGCGGCGCGCCAACGTTGCATGTCCACGGTGTGCCAACGCTGCAGCAAGTCGGCTGCACAGCGTTGCACCCGCAGGACAACGGTGCACCTGCTTCGCAGGTGTGCGCGGCTGGTTGGCGTCCAACTCCCCGTCACGTGCCCAACACAGACATTCCCGCTCGTGACGGCGCCCATCAGCCACGTCGACCTCGGGATACCACCCCTGAGGTCGTCCTCGCAAAAATATCCCCCGGCGACCTTCGCACACGTCGCCCGGGTATCCCGGTCGACCGGGCAACCCCGCCTGGTCGTCCAGCCCAGTCGGACGCCGGCTACGCCAAGCCCGGCGTCCCCAGGTCGGTGTTCTGGCGTCCAAGACGGCGTTCACTTGCCCAGGACGCCTAGCAGAGGCTCCAGTTGGTGCCCAGGCGCCCAGGGACGCCCAGGACGGCGCCCAGGACGCCGAGCAGACGCCCAGGACGGCGTCCAGGCGCCCAGGACGCCGAGCAGACGCCCAGGACGCCGTCCAGACGCCAAGGACGGCGTCCACCTGCTCGGCGCCCTCCAGCCAGGCGCCTCCCAACACCACGCCCTTGAACCACTGCTGCAGGTCGGCTGCATTCCCCGCGCACCCGACCACAAAGTCGGCTCCGCCCAAGCGAGGACGGGGCCACACAACACTCCCGTTGACAGCATAACCGCGTAGGCAGACTGCAACATGCTAGCTCTCAATAGCTCTTAGCTCCCGCACAAAGGCGAACCGCGGCCCAACCAACTTGGTTAGAGGGGGCCCGCCACGGGTGGTGCCTAGCGTGGCCTAAACATGGGGCCCCAGAAGAACTCACCGCAAGTGGTTTGAGTCCTGACAGGCCATGTGAAGTCCAGCCTGGCCCATGAAGCTGTAGGGTGCACACCATACACGTCATTGTCATTCACTGGAGCAACACTGCCCGAGCTGGCATAGCGGAAAAAGTGATTCATCCCCGACAGAGAGAGCACCGCCTCGCTGAAGGTAAAACCCAGTGATGCATCTGCGATGAAGGAGAGGGTGCATATGGTGTTAAAAATAAGGATTGCTGCGGGAAACAAGAAACCACCCAAAGCTGGTTCATAATGCAACTGCATTGCTCGCTTTTAAAAGGGACGAAACAATATCACGTCGTACCTGGAGTTGGCTGGGTAGGAAAATCTGCAAAGGAGAGGGAAGGGAAAAAAGAAGGTGAGAGAAAGAGTTGAGTTAGCATAGTAGCCAGTGTTCAATAGCTTTAACATGTAACTGATGAGAAAAACAAACAACAGCGGGAAACAAGCGGGTGAGAAGATGTGGGCAGGTGTGCACTCACAGGTGGAAAGGGTCCAGGCGGAGACGACATGGCCTTGAGGCTGGGTGGCGGAGGCAGCAGTGAAGCCGATGGCAAAGGTGTACTCTGATGGGGAGGGGGCGAGCTCCTCACACAGGGAGATGCGTGCCGACAGGAGGGGGGTGGTGGGGCGAGATGACTCGGAGGAGAGAAAGACACGCAGTGAGCCACTGGAGGATGGGCTGTAGTCGATCCACACATGTTTGGCTGTGCCGTCATTGAGAGGGGTGCTCATATTGGCTGTGACGACCGACGTGACATTGCCGCCGGTGTTGATGCCCACGTGGTTGCTGTCAGGGTCGCTGTTGCCCGCATCCATCGACGTGTCAAACTCCACTGCCACGCTGCGCGCTCCCATCCCCGCATACCCCATGCCGCCCGCCACCGGTGTTGTGGGCGGGGTGGCATCAAAGGCCACCACAAAGGCAAAGCCTTCGGAGCCGGAGGCAGCAGGGCGGGTGAGAGTGAAGGGGAAGGAGGAGGAGAAGGCGAGTTGGCGGCCGCAGGAGTCCCCGATGAGCTGGTAGGAGAAGAGCGGCACGCGCGCTGCCAGGAACACACTGCCAGCCTTGGACGGCTGGGCGGGCGTGAGAGTGAGCGTGGCTGTTGCAGCATCCACTGAGGCGTCGCCTGTGGCTGTGAGCGTGGCTGCTGTGGGCGTCAAATCCTTCTCCGTTGTGCCACCTGGAAGTGGGAGGGAGACATAGGGATTCAGAGAGGCGAGTGCAGAACACGCTTTCTCAAAGGAGGCACGCAGCAGGTATTAGCTCAGTCAAGAAAAGCATGCTTGGCAGCAGTACAAGTATACTAGAAACAAGGCACATGTCATGGCATGGGATGCTGCGTGGCTGCGTAATGCTCAGGCTGTGAGTGGCTCACCTGCCACAGGCACGCAGCTGCTGGGATATACCCCAATCACGAATTTATCGTCACAGAGGCATGTGGGCGTGTTGCTGGGTCCGTCCAAGAAGCACATGCCATGGCCGTTGCAGGCGGGGTCGGTCGGAGAGACGCCGCAGAAGGCAGAGCAGACAGCGTCAGTCTTCTGAGTGCTGTCTGCACACGCAAGGCCCTCTGCTGGCGTGTGCGCACAGTTGGCGCGGTATGTGATGTAGCCTTGTCCGCACGGAGGGGGGTTTGTGAACCCCTGACTCAAGTAGTTGTTGTCCAGCTTGTATGCTCGAATTGATGCTGGCACGGGCTCGAGCACCTTCCCTGTCAACAGATTGTTCCTCAGATTGCTGCGGTGCGGATAGAGGTGGAAGTATGGGGAATGGAAGGATGGAGAATGGAAGGATGGATAATGGAAGGATGGGGAAAGGAAGGATGAAATATGGAAGGATGGGAATGGAAGGATGGGGAATGAAGGGATGGGGAATTGAGAGATGGGGAATGGAAGGATGCGGAGTGGAAGGAAGGCGAATGGAAGGATGGGAAATGGAGGGATGGGGAATCGAGAGATGGGGAATTGAAAGATGGGATATGGAAGGATGGGGAATGGATGGATGGGGAATGGAAGGATAGTGAATGGAAGGATGGGAACTGGAAGGATGGGGAATGGAAGGATGGGGAATGGAGAGATGGGGAATGGATAGATGGGGAATGGAAGGGTGGGGAATGGAAGAAAGAGGAATGGAGGGATGGGGGATGGAACAAGGGAAAGCGAATGAGAAAGGGAGCAAACACTATTATCCGCATGGATGGAGCCTTGAGCACAACGGAAACAAGACAGCAGTCGTACTGTTAGAAGCATGACAGCACAACTGAGGTGGGGCCATATGGGGGACTCACAGAGCTCGTAAGTTGTTACAGCAAGTAGCAAGACCTTGCGGTATGGTGCCTGTTAGGCGGTTGGAGCTCAGGTCCCTAAAAAAAGAGGTGAAGAAAAGAGGAAAGCAAGAGTGGTTCGTCTAGCTTTATGAGGGCGAGGCGAAGCGATGGGTCCCAAAGACCTACGCTATTGGTTGAGCTGTGACTGGGCTTGGCCTGCTCGGTTGGCTGACATGGATGGCAAGCCTTGTCTCAAGCTCGTGGCCAGCTTGTGAAAGAGCGACCCTTGTCAGGACGGGGTTTGTTGCCAAGAGATTTTCAGGCCCACCCGACAATCCCTGTGGTCAACGGTGAAGGGCCGGACCGAGCAGGACTGATTTGAAGTGAAACGGGGTGGCTTGAAGCGAGCCCTCCCCTTCCCCACTCCTTCCCACCCCTCCCTCCTATCTCTTCTCCACCCCCACCCCGGCTCAACATGTGAGCGAGCCGGCTTGGTTCAGATGAGTGACGAACCAAGTCAGGCTTCAGGCAAGCTGGCTTGGCTTGGACCCTTGCTCAGGTAATAGATTTCGGATAGCCGAGTGGGCAAGTGTACACTCATTCCCGGGAGCAGATTATTTGAGAAGGTAAAAGGCCAAGAGTCGAGGTGGTCACGCTAAGTAGCAATGTTGGTGGTGCAAGGATGGTGAGAAAGGAGCGAGGATAATAAAAAAAGAGAGAGAAGGCATCCCATCAGCGCAGGCATCTCCACAGAGGAGGCAATTACCTGTTGCTGGGGACACACACGGACAGAATGAGCTGCATGTGTGACAAAAACTATTAAACACTCAGACTCAACACATTAGAGCTGGGGTGGACCCAAAAGTGGGAGTGAGGCTTACAGCAGTGTGAGATAGACCAAGCCGGTGATGTCGTCCGGTATCGTGCCAGACAACTGGTTGAAGCTTATGTCGCTGGGGAAAGAGAAGAGACGAATGTCACGAAGAAACATAGACACTTGAACAGCTGACCAACCACAATGGAATGCAGGCAAGAAGGCAGCAGTGGGAGATGAGATGGAAGCGAGGAATTAGATTAGAGTGAAAAAAGGTGGAAGTGGGAAATGCGATGCAGAGAGGAATGCAGACATGAAGCATTCTTTGGTTTAGGGCGATGTGTGCACGGGCAGGAGCAAGGAGCCACAGAATCCCAGACGGCGCTGCAGATAGACATATGCAACGTGATGCAGTGAGGCATGGCGATGCAGTGAGGCATGGCGATGCAGTGAGGCATGGCGATGCAGTGAGGCATGGCGATGCAGTGAGGCATGGTGATGCAGTGAGGCATGGGGATGCAGCGAGGCCATCTAGAGCCCGAGGTTGCCTGTGCTGACAGACGTGTGGCACATGGTGTGGTGTAGTGCGGTGCAGACAAGAGCACAACAGCAGCTGATTTGTTTGCAGTTGAGCTTAGATGGATGAGGGACCACATTAGACCCGATCCACCGAGCCGAGACGAGCAGAGCTATGCTGCGCCCAGCTGTGCTTGCGTAAACCAGCAGAGGGAGAATCATGACGGGCCAGATCAAACCAGTCCTGGTTCGACCTGGTATGAACCAAACTGGTTGTGGTTCGTTTCTTGCTCATGCTCGATGAAATGCATGTCTGATACCAGTCCTCAATGCTGTTCACACACCAGTGCCGGCACAAATTTGTGTTTCCTGCTTAGGGAAACAATAAACCTGGGTAGAAGTGGTAGAGGGGCGAGGGATCTGTGGAGCAAGGCTGCATTTCATTATCTGACGAGGGGGGACCTAAAGGAGAGAAAAGAATTGAAATAAAAAATTAACGGAAGAAAGAAAGGAAGGAAGAAAGAGAGAAAGAAAGAAAGAAAGAAAGAAAGAAAGAAAGAAAGAAAGGAGGAGAAGGAGAAGAAGACATAAAGAGAGAAAAAGAGATGAAAGACTAACAGCTTTCGAAGATAACGTATATTCCAAGTGGTTGGGAGGGGACCAGTGAATTCATTGTGCGCCAAATTGCTGGGGGAGAGTGAATGTGAAGCAAGTGTAGGGAAGAGAGGGGTGAGCACGGTGGGGGAAATGTATCAAAAGGGAGGTAAATGTGATTTTGCAAGGCAATGTGCATCGCGATGCAGGTATGGCAGGGCTTGGGTGGGAGGCAAACATACACGAGAAGAAGCAACCCATTGATGGAAGGATTTCAAGACACACAGGTCGATCTCGTAAGCACAATATGCAGCTTAAGGGCCTATCAGCTCTAACAGTTTGGACTGGGGACTTCAACATTTTTTTGAATGAGCAGGAGGGTTGTTGAGTGGGCTTGAAGGAAAGATGAGCGAATGGCATATAACCCATACCAGATGCTTATGTGTTATGTGCACAGTGCATGCCATGAGTCCCTGCCCTGCCTATGCTCAATTCATCCACTCATGCTGTCTCACAGCATGTCTAGTGAGGTAAGGGTGCCTATGTCGGAGAGAATGGTCCCACTCAGCTTGTTGTACCCCAGCTCACTGCCGTGCATGGCAAGGGGTGCAGGGGCAGGGGGGGAGGGCAGTGCAGAAGGGAGGGGGCAAACGGAAAGATGACAGGAAAGGACGGGCGGGAGAGGCAGACGGAGGGTTGGATGGAAGGGTCAAACGGGGAGGAGGAACAGGGGCGATTGAGAAGGGACAGCAGGCGGGAGATGGTTGTTTATCCACTAGCGAGGCCCTCGGGTATACCCTACCCAACCTCGGGTTTTAAATACCCGAGGTGTGCCCAGCGGGTCGGGTTCACTTCCTGAACCTAAATACCCGAGGTCAGTTATACCCGACCCGACCTGACTTTGCCCTCGGGTACGCCTAAACGGGTCGGGTCGGGTCGGTTCGGGTAAAGGCCCATGCCCTCGCTGCCAGGGTACATGTACAGCAGAGGGACGGAGTGATGCATAGCTTTCCTTCTTTTGATCTGCTGCTCACCGCTCTTGAACATACTAGACCATACTTCAACGTCGTGTTACATAAACGGATTCAACCGCTCAAGGAGCCTTTTTTTTTTTTTTTTTTTTGGCAAATTATCCAGGATGTACCACGCCCTTAGACTACCCAGTCCAGACGTTCATTGCTGTTCACTAACATGTAAGGTATCAAGTTACTAACGCTTACATTACATGGCCCTGACAATTGTTTGTTCCCAAATTAGGCTGGAAATCCCAGCTTTTGAAACTAGCTGGCAGTTCTATCCTACTTGCCACTTGGGGGGACACGGCCAGGGTGTGGAGAAAAATCACTGGGGGGAAAATGGGCAAGGACTGAGGGAGAGCTAGAAACCTATCAAAACAACAAAGATCTAGATTTGCAAGATTCAGCAGAATATTGGCCTGAAAGTGATGCATGTGACTACGACAGCACCTGGCCCTGTTTGTGCCAGAACTTTCAGTTGGGCCCAGGCCAACTTCTAGCCTTGCCCTACACTCATGTCAGGCCATGTCTATGGCTCTGAGCTCACCAAATGGCTGAGTGACACGGGGGCATGCAATGCAAGAGGCTCACATGCATTAGAGACGAGTTGCAGCTGTTAGAGTGGAAGGCAGGGAACCCGATATGAGGTTGTTACCGGCACGGCTGGGGTGTTGATGTGATGTGATGGGATGGGATGGGATGGGATGGGATGTCACGGGATACAATGCGATGTGATGTGATGTGCTGTGATGCGATGGGATGAGTTGAGATTGCGATGTGGTATGATGCGATGCAGCAGCAACGCAGGAAGCAAGCAATGGTGGGGTGTGAAAGGAAGAACACATGGCAAAAGAAGAACGGTGATGCATTTCTCATAGTTTGGATGCATGGGTGGAAGTGGATGCGGTGCGGTGCCTGGGAGGAACAATCAGGGTGAGTGAGTGACAGACAGCCACATGTCTCTGGAAGTGACTGTAACAAGCAGGCAATCACAGCAAGCAGCGCCATGGAGAGGGTTGCAACTTGTGCAAGGAGGAGGAAGAAACCAGAGAGGAAGAGGAGAAGGCACAGAGTGAGTCCATGGGAAGAGGAACTCACAAAGTTTCTAGCTTGGAGACACCCCTAAAATTTTCTGGTAGAGGTCCCGTAATGCGGCTGTTTTGAATCTCGCTGATGGGGGGCAGGCGGTGAGAGATTTAGAAAGGAAGCCTAGCGTTGTGGTGGAAATGAAAGCCATGGGAGCAAGCAACGCATCGATAGACACGA